AGGAGCCAGACACCTGCTTATCACGCCCCTCAGGCTGCACCTCTCACTTCCATGCTGGGTGACCGCCATGCTATCGTTTCTCTATTGTTGCCAGAAATACTTCCCAAGGCCCTGTGAGTGTTGATTCAAACATGTGCTTAACTACTTCAGGCTTACCTGCAAGCTATGGAAGATTATTAGCCTGGTCACATTTTCGGGTTATTTTATCCCTGCAGAATGGAGGGCGAAGCCCACCCACTTTTTCCATCTAAAAAGTCCTCCTGAACCCGGGTTTGCACCCTGGCCTCTCTCACTCTGATCAGCCCACGTGCCGTGGCCGCGTTTGTCGCCTTTGCTTCTCCGCCACGGCAGAGCCCCCACCCCTTGTCCTGATGCATCTGCCTCCCCTGCTGCAGAGCCACGTTCATCACCCAAGAAACTTCCCCAAAACCTCGCTGCCTCCGAAGGCCGGCACATCCTGTGCGTGTCTCAGAGTAGAGCCACAAGGCCAGTGGGGGCGAACACTGGACAACTGTGCGTTAAGCCCACGGGCCCACGTTCACGTGTAGCTCTGCTTGGCACCATAGGAAACCTCAGGTGAAGGGGCTGAAGGCCAGGCCCCAGCTGTGTGCCATCAGCCCATGGCCGGTACCTGTCACTCGCCCGTTCACTATGGGTCGAGCCAGAGGCCAGCATCTTCTATTCTGAATTTGCCCTTTGGCTCAAGGGTTATTTTGAGCTGAATAGTTTGAGGAAAAGCAGACACAGCAGCTGCTCTAAAGACAGGGCGTGCATTGTCCTTTTGTAGGGAACTTCATGCTGACCAGGAAAAATCTCCCTTTGTGAAGTGCCTCCCCCCTGAGCGGGAAGTGAAGGGGAGGCCCCAGGATTCTCAGCAATTTGCAGGACAACTCAGCTGGTTGCCAGGCTGCGGATGGCACAGGTGGAGGCTGTGGCCTTGGAAGGGCCCCCAAAGAGGGTACTGGGCGCCAAGATGGAGCGGGTGGTGGTCACCCAGGACATTTTTACAGAGAAGTTATAGTGACATTGAGTTATTCGCTGCTCCTTGCTGACTGTGGACCCATCCATTGTGATCATCTTCTATCCAAGCTGCTTATCCATAAGCCTGTGTTTTCCCCAAACGATGGGTTCTCGGGGCTGGAGCCCCATTCCCTGGCTTCTGTCAGATACAGAGTAAACGCAGTGCCGCCCGTTCTCCAGACCCGCCTCTGCACCTCCTCGCCAGCCCATGGGCACCCTGGCAGGTACACACCCCACACAGGCTCCCGAGTCTGGGCTCAGGCTTCCTGTAGCCTCCACAATGGGCAGAGGCACCCCTGCCCCAGACACGTGTGGACAGTGGGGTGGACTCAGGTCACTGGCGGTTGTGGGGGAAGTGTGCTGGGGACACATTACTCGGTTGGTCGCCTCTCATCTGGGCCCAGAAAGCTCTTGTGATCTGAGAAAAAACATGACCTCCAAGGATTTTAAGCTAATGATAACCAGGAACTCGCTGCGAAGCAGGCTCCGTTCCAGCACTTTCCATCCTTGCTCCGTGCGATAGCCAACAAGGCAGACAAGCCCTCCACACAGACTCCAGGCCAGTTTCAGAGCTCGCCCCCTTCCTGACATGTCAGCGCCTTCCCAAAGCCCAAGGCCTCCCCGAGCTTGGAACAACGCCTTATCTGGAAATAGGGCTGTTGAAGGTGTAGTCAGTCAGGTTAGGACGAGGTCATGGGTGAGTCAAAGCCAGTCTGGTCCTTGGGAGAGAAAAACACCACGTGAAATCAGACTTGGGGGCTGCCCTGTGGCTGACACGTCTGCACACCCAGGGATGCCAAGGATTGCCTGCTGTCACCAGACGCCAGAGAGGCACCTGGGACAGCTCTGCCTCAGAGCCTCCGAAGGGATTGCCCCTGTGGGCACCTGGGTCTTGGTCTCTGGCCTCTAGGGCTGTGGTGCTGTCGCAGCAGCACCCACCCCCCACACACACACACTGGCACATGGTCATCCGCCCCTGCTGGCCCTGACCAGGTGCTGTGCTCTGCTCCTGTGTGCAGGTTGAGCAGGGCTGAACCGAGATGCAGGACCAGCGTGAAAGTGGTGCTTGGGGCACAGCCAGGTCCTGCCAGGGGCTGACTCACCGTCTGGGAACGGCCACCCAGCCCCCGGGACTTCTCCCGCCAGAAGCGCTCTCAACCCCCCATGTGTGCGGCGGCCACTATGCAGACGCCTTACAGCTTTCTCCTTTAATCCTCACAGCAGCCTCTGAGTAGGACTGGTCTCTCGTGTTACAGATGGGGAAACTGAGGCCCAGATAGAGGAAGAAAGCCGCCCAGGGCCACAGAACTGGTGAGGCTGCCTCCCAGTTTTGGTCATGTTCCAAAACCTGCCTTCTTTCCTGTAAAAATTCTAGAGCAGTGTCAGTGGAGTGGAGAGACAGACAGACAGGCGGGCAGGCAGGTGACATGACCCTGCAGAGGGAGGTAGCAGGAAACACAGAAGGGCCACTAGTGACGCAGCTGCACTCTTTGGTTGGGGGTCCTCAGCAGAGCCCAATGGACAGAGGGGGCTCTCGGGACAGGGCAGCTGATCAAGTCCGGGGAGAAGCTGGTCATCGGCCTGATTCCGCAGGTCACTCGGTGGCCTGGCTGCCAGACTGTCCACCCCAGGCCAGGGCCAGCTGGACTGTCCCCCTCTCGCTGCTGGTGGTGCAAGAGAGGCAGAAACCCCAGCATTTCTAGGGGCTCTGGCAGCCCAGGGCAATTCTCCACAATGTCAGCAGCCCAGTACAGGGTCCCCCGCAATGTCCACTGCGACCTGTGAGGCACAAGGCCACTGTGTGGCACACACGACCCGGCCCTTCCCCTCCTTTCATCCTCCCCTCGATGCAACTTCAAGTCCTTGGGCAAGTGACTCCAATTCTCTCAACAATGGGTTTGGGTTTTCCATCTGCAAAGTGGGGTAATGACACTCACTGAAAGGATGTCGTGAGGCTCAGATACTGTCTGCGGCGTCCTTGGCCCAGAGCACCCTCCAGCAGCAGTGGCCGCGGCCTTTGGTGAGTCCATGGCCGCGCCTGGCACACCGCAGAACGCAGCAACAGTATGCACAGAAAACAGGCTGGGGGTAAGATAGCACCTCTTCACTCATTAACTTTGCTTCTTTGTGTGGATGGCTAAACAGCTAAAGGTTGTCAGCCAGCATGAACACACCTGATAGGCATGTTTGTTAAGCACAGATAACAGGGTTTGGGGCAAACAATAAGATTCTCACAGTGGTCATCAGACAGAAATGGGGTCTCGGGCTTTGAGGTTCTGAAAGGATTCAAGGGAAGGTCAGGATCCTGAGGTGTGAGGCCTCTCTGGGCCTCTAAAGGCAGAAACAGGAAACACTGAGCATACGTGGAGAGCACATCAGCTCCACGCCAGAGCTCCATCACTGAATGTAATTCCTTCAGGCCTGAGTCACTGCAAAGCTGGCCTCCAAAAGCCACCACCCATCCTGTCCAGTGCTCTGCACATGACTGTCTGACAGGCAGGGGTCTTCAGAAGAACAACACTAAGGCAAATGGACGGACGGATGGATGGCTGGCTGGATGGATGGTGGATGGATGGAAGGATGGCTGGAAAGTGGAGAGAGTGATGGGTGTGTGGAGGATGGATGAAGGATGGAGGATGGTGGATGAAGGATAGAAGATGGTGGATGGAGGATGGATGGATGGTGGATGGTTGATAGATGGATGGATGGTGGATGGAGGGTGGAAGGAAGGAAGGGAGGAAAGATACAGTTTTTAAACAATTCTGGCGGCTGGCAATTCTAAATCATTAGAGCAGAGCAGTAGACTAGAAACTCAAGCAGGACTTATGCTCAGTTTAGGCAGAATCTGTTGTCTGGGAAAACTCAGATTTTACTCTTAAGATCCTAAAATTATAGAATGAAACCACCCACATTCTTGGGGGAAATCTTTACTCAAAGTTGGCTGATTGTAGACATTAACCATTGTTAATCTCATCTACCTCCAGCCCCTGGCTTACTGTTTGATTAATCAGGGTAAAACAGCCCAGGCAAATGGACCCTTGAAGTCAACATCAGAGCTAGTTCGGAGACAGGCGGCTGCTGGACTGAAAAGAGAAGGAAACTATTTGTGCTGCTCAGAGCCGGCCCCGCCCCCGCCTCAGGTGGCTGTAGTTGAGGGTGTTACCTGAAATACGACCTTTGTCCACTCAGAGTGGAAGGATCTGAGGATGTTCAGGCAGGGAAGCGACAGCATCAAAGCTGTGACATACTCTCTGTCCTCTGCAGGAGGGTGGACCAAGTGGCTCCACCAAATGTACGCAGCTGGAAACCTAAGTGTAACTCGGCATCTTTGCTTTTTCCACAGCTCCTGCTGTATCTTCTGGTGGCTTCACACAAGCCCCATAGTGGTAGGTCCAAGGGTTTGCTTCCTGTGTGTCCACACGAGAGGAAGGACAGGGCATGGAGCGCCCGCCTGGCCCAGCACCGCGCTCATGACTAACGTCTTCCGTGCACCTCACAGTGCCCGGGGCGGCAGCGGGCAGAAGGCGGGACGCTAACAGGCCTCAGGGTCTCAGGCAGGGAGCCTGGCTGCCTAGCTCAGAGCATGCTGAGTGTGTGTGCCGGCGCGCGTGGGGAGGGAGAGAGAGGGAGAGAGAGAGGCGCGGGAGTGCCAGCTTGGAACCGTTCCTGGAACATAGCAAGCTCTCTAAAAAATCTCTGAAACAACAGAGTCCCGGCGCACACACATGTGGAAACCGCAGCGGGGCAAGGTGGAGCAGCTTGGCCGACGCTTCCAGCGGCTGACTGCACATCTGGGACTAGAACCCGGCTCCCCCTCGTCTCCTCCGCACCCCGGAGAGCCCCGCGGAGGGGAGGGGGGCGCAGCGGCCCGACGCGCAGCCGGAGGTCCTCGCCCCGCCCCGGCCCTGGGGAGGTGGGGGTGGGAAGGGAGGAGCCGCGCGCATGTGCACAGCTGGCGGCCCCCCGCCCCCCGCACAGCTGGGACGTGGGCCGCGGCCGGGAGGGCGGGCGGGCGCAGTCCGGAGCCGGTGGGGGACGCGCCGGGCCCTCCGCGACCGGTGGGTGCGGCCAGCGTCGTTGCGCGCCGAGGCCATGGCCGTGCGCCCCGCGCGCCTCTGTTTGCTGGCGCTCGTGCTGTGCTGCGGCTGGGGGGTGCTGACCGCGGGCGCCCAGAAGCCGGGCGTGGGGTGCCCGAGCCGCTGCCTCTGCTTCCGCAGCACGGTGCGGTGCATGCATCTGCTGCTGGAGGCCGTGCCCGCCGTGGCGCCGCAGACCTCCATCCTGTGAGTGCGCGGGGCGCGGGGGGCCGGGGTGCGGAGAGTCGGGGGGCCGGGGCCGCAGGGACGAGCGTGGGCAGGGGCACGTTCGCAAGCAGCGGGCGGCGGGGGCCCGGCGGGGGCCCGCGGGCCTTTGTCCGCCCTGGTCTCGGCGCGGAGGGCGGACCTGGGCGCAAAGCGCGGCCTCCAGAGCCGCCTTTGTTCGGAATCCCCTGCCGGACGGGAGGGTTGCCGGGAGAGGCCCGGGAAAGCCCGG